TTAATGCAGAAAACAAACAGTTAGCATACTTAGCACCCTTAGCTAAATACTTAGCTAACCATCTTAACCATGTTAACCTACTAGTAAGGCCACAGCTGATCCAAGCAAAGTATATGTATATACAGTATAATCATTACATATAAATAAACCGCAACCGCTCTATCTATATATGCAGAGTAAATATTGTTATATGTATGTGCGTGTCGGCGTGTTTTGTATATATAATATATATATATATAATATATATATATATGTGGTGATTGCGGGAGATACAAAGCATCTACAAACACTCATGAAATCGGAAACTCCAAAAGTCATTCCACTTATGATAAAAGGGTACGGAAGGGCCTCTATGTTGCCCATGGTTTTCAGCCGCAAAGACAACTTATGCTTCTGTGGGCAACATGCGACTCACGCAAAATCATATTTCATCATGCAAAAAAGCATGGGATTGAAATCTGTGTCACGCAAAATCTCATTGCTGATCAATTGGTCATGACAATTTCACACCATGACAATGACATTTGGGGTATCGCCCAACAAAAAACATTCCAAGGCTAGGAAAAAAATATTCTGCTGTCTCCATCCTGGAAAGATGCAAGTAGGGACGGTGGATCAACCGGTGTCATCAAACGTGGCTGATGGGAAAATCCCCCATAAATGAAGGTTTATCGCTGGGAAAGATATGGAACTAAATGGTGATGTTTGTAGCTAGCCATGTTTGATTACCGGACCAAAGGATGTTTAGATTTATACTGTTGTTGCATTGATAATTCAACACAGGTGAAATATAATTCATATACAATGTACTGGGAGAAATTGGGATGAATTTGGTGATATTCTCGTGGCTATGAGCTAACGTGGTACACCGTACACCCATGTAGTAACACCCACTTGTGGGGTATAGTTGTTTCAATCGAGTTTTAACACATCACCCAAGGGATTGACCTTGGCAAGTGTGGTATCCTGCTTTGAATGTGTCTTAGCATTGGAGACCCCATAGTTGTCATTTCTGGTGCGGAAACCAATTGTTTTTGGTGCACCCAGTGGCCCAAGTTACATTCATATCCCCTCAGATGCTCGATGGATGGAATGTTCACCAAAATAAATCCACCAACAATGGCTCAAGTGTCATCTGGATTCAACCACCTCCCCCACAGCTGACCTAAAAACATTGGATGGTTGATAGGCCCGCATTTTTTGTGGTTGGTGGTTAAGCCCTTGAGAAGACCTTATTCTTTAGCGGGGTCGCCTTTTGGGGTGTCACTTAAAGATCCATAAAACGTTACCCACTTATCGGAGTTTCAGTCCTGAAATCTGCTTAACCCAGGAGCCACATCACCGGCGTAACTCAGAGAGCTGTTGAACTGTCTCTTCGGCGGAGAAACTGAAGGCCGGTTTCAGCTGAGGGGAACCCAATGATGGTGATTCTAGGCAAGGAAAAAAACAAGCCATTACATAAGACTTTGGTTTGTTGCCATTAAGACCTGTCTTTTTGGCAATCAATATTTCAGGTTTTTACATGTTTACCATGTTTTTTCATTCTAGCCATTGCATGATTAAGACTTTGGATTTTGGCAACTATTAGGCACTGGGATTTTAGCGGCTACAAAATAGGGATTGAACCAACACAAATTGGTGATACAACTGATGTTAACCATCAACAATTAGAAAATACAACAAACATTGGGATTTATGACGGTATCGCAGTACAGGGGTCCCATAGGCCATGTCAAGGCAAAGGAGTCTCCTCGAGGGCTCAAGGTCTGGAAGATCCCCACAATATGTCCATTGATGTTTTCTTGTGTATGTAATATATTATATCTGGTTGGTGGTTTCAACACCTCTGAAAAATATTAGTCAGTTGGGATGATTATCAACATATATTATGGGGAAAAAACAATGTTCCAAACCACCAACCAGTATATATATATACACGGTAACTACATTTAAAAATACGGATTTTAACATATACGAACTGGTACCGTAACGACTACCTCCGGGAAGATTTTCCTTGGCCCGCCCTGCCATTTCAATATACGAATTCCAAATATGAGAACAGCCATGTGGAAATACGAACGGAAATGGTATTTCATACTACCTCCGGGACCGCGTGGTCTGGCCTGCCCTCCATATATTTAAATGGTGCTACCGTATATATATATATATAAATTAAATCGACATATATATAATCATATATATATGGCCCAGGCCAACCCTCCCACCCCGCCACGTCATGGTTATGGTCCTGTATGCAGGCTTTATATAGGAGGCTCTATGTATGATATAGTATAGTTTACACACCCCGCCCCCCCTGTGGGATGGGTGGGGGCTAGGTAGTGTGTCGCTTTCATGTAAGGCAAAAAGTGGGTAGCTAGCATATGCTAGCATGCTCCATGCCCCCCCCCCCCCCGTGGAATGGGTGGGGTGTTATGGAGGTACCATGTAGATAGAGTATAGGCATAGGTAACACATGGCTAGCACGTATGTATAGCATATGAGATCTTCACAGTAGCTAGTACATGGCTACTATGAAGACACTGCATAGGCAGTAATAGGCTGTAAATAGATTGTATTGTATGGGCATTCAGGTAGTGAACCCTGCAGGTATCATGTAGGTAGTACATAAGTGGTACGTGGGTAGCACATATGTACTGTATAGCAAAAATGATCTTGACAGTTGCTAGTGTATGGTTACTATTTTAAAATAAAGTGCTTTATGGGCAGTAATACGTTGTAAATAGATTCTATGCAGGGTGTAGCCACGTGGCTAGGCCACCCAATGGGGGTGGTTGCTGGTGGGGATAGCATTCCGGAGGGTTGCCGGCCGCTGGCCGGGACCATATACATACACACAATTACACACATACATATGATGTACAGCAGACATTTCGAAACGTATGATATATCCCAGTTCAGGAATCCATCCCCAAAAAAGGCGAACATGATCCGATGTAGAAATCCAGATATCCAAGCCGCCATCTGATCGATGGCTAAAGGGGCCCAGGTACAGAGTGCTGAATATGACGCACTAATGCATGTCAATGTGTCTGTGTATGTACATGGGTCTGTGTTTGTATCTAGCTGATCTGATCTGATCCAATATGATCTGATCTAATCCTATCTGACTGAGCCGATCAACCCAATCTGATGTATGTATCCTTCAGCTTCCATCTAGCCATCTATCTTTCAAATCGAATCGAATCGAATCGAATGGAATCAAATCAAATCAAATTAATCTACGATTTATGAACAAATAAAATTATAAAATAACATAGATACAACCATACGGACCCAGACACGAAAGCATTTAGAACCTATAGAGTCTACACTGGCTGGAAAGGCAAACGATATCACCAGGATGGATGCATTGAGGTGTTTTCATGAATTGAGGAAAAGGGCGCACAGTCGCACAAGAATGCGTACGTAGATGTGTATATGAATATGTATATATATATATATACACATGACATGAAATGACATGACATGACATACCATACCATACCATACCATAACATAACATAACCTACATACATATAGCTATATACATGTGTATATAATTGCAATATATGCAAATTACCAGTACTACATCCATACTCAGTACATGTGTACGTATTTGCACTCAGTATATGCATAGAATAGTTCACATTTACATATGCATGTGTATTTTTGTGTATACATATATAAAATACATGTTGATGTATTCTACCGCACTACCTAGCTTTATTATAATATATACACATGTACATATGCATATAAGTACAGTATAAGTATATGTATATATATATATATATGTATATACATGTATATATTTATACATACACACGCAGATGTATATCTAGACATATATATATATATACATATATATATATATACATATATATATATATACATATATATATATACACTCACTCTATATATATATAGATATATAGATAGGTACATAGTCAGACCACGCCCGGTCGCCTTTTTCGGAGTAGGATGGGGACTCCACGGAGGAACGGATGTTCACCAAGCAGGCATCCTGCCGTGTTTTTTCGTGAACAGATCTGCCGTGTTGAGCTGACAACAGCTCCATTTTCTCCCATGAAATACCAATAAAAAATGAGATGTTATGGAAAAAAACCCTATAATTATGGGATAATTCAGATATACTATTTGATTCAACTTGTAACTATAACATAAAAAATGTTCAGAGGCACCCCTCCACTACGGCTTATCATTGTTCTCAATAAACCAGGTAGATGCACGACCCATGATGAAATCAAAGCAATACACCATCGACCAGCTATTCCTATGAAATGGGTGGGTTAAAGATCATGGCTTTAAACAAGATGGTCTGGTTTGTCACTATCCTATTCAAATAGCAATCCAAATCATTTGAAACTATATTAATATGTCCGGAATTTGCTACAAGTCCCAAGTAGATTTATGTAGATTTAACAAGAAGTTTCAAGACTGGGGTCCAAACAATGATATCATTTCTGGTCATGTTTTTGTTGGGGTTCCATTTTGATTATATGGGGAAAAATGCACAAACAGCTTCTGAGATCATCGGCATGAATTGGGGGTATACCAAATATCCCAACAAATCCAAATTCTATTGGTTACAAGTTACAACTATATATATATATATATCCAATTCGCCATATGTTGCATATAATGTAAATATCCCATCATATCCCATCATGTCGATATCATTGTAGCTCAATTGTGCTTGGTTTAAACAAAAACTCAATTGCTGAAGAAAAACATGTTCTCAATGTTGCTGATTTTTTGGGTCATAAAATGCCACAAATCTGTTTTAGACCCACCATCTTGGTTGGGTAACCCATCTCTCTTGTTTTTTAGGTGAACACACAGAATTTCACTCTGGTTTAAATCCTCATCAATTGATGGTTGAATCACCATGTTTGTTACACTCAAAGAGTTGATCATTTGATGGGTAAAATCCAAGATGTCACTCGAAAATCCCATATTTCAAAGATCAATCATAGGTTTTATGGTAAATCAGACATCGCGGCGGAAAGCTTCGAGACCTCCTTCGGCCAGGTCCAGGAAGCTTCACCTCCTGAGCGAAGGGAGATTCCATCATCTCAAAATTGTGAAAAACTGCGGATATCTATGATATCTATGATGAATGATATACTATGTACTATGATGAATGTCATACTGTTTCATCTAATAATGGATCTACTATGATGAATCCATTATTATCCATGGGGGTTTCCATAAATAGGGGTACCCCGAGTTATCATCCATCTTAGATTGAGATTTTCCACTACAAACCAACCATTTTGGGGATCCCTCATTTTTGGAAATCCCCATATGATATTATATGGTTATAATTTCAAGATTGTTATTATAAGATGGTATGATATGGTTATAAAATGGTTATACGATGGCATGATAAGCCATAAAGGGGTCAGATGGCTAAAGTTTTGAGATGGTTAAGTTATATGATGCTAGATGGTGTAGCCAATGGGAATTTGAGATGATTTACCTTGGCACGTACTATGAGAATTGGTGATTCATTCATCAAAAGGAGATATGGTATGGTGCCCCATAATTGACAGTTCAAAACACAGTTTGGACAGGGAATTAAACCCAACATTAAATGGGAATATTTCACGAGGACACAATGGGAATATAAAACATGTTACCAATACTATGACTTGCTATGAAAACTGTATATATATGTCTTCAAAAGACCGGTTAGGTGATGATTAGTTTGTGCATTGTACTAACCAATGTCCGGGGAATATCACAATCCATGGGGAATCCCGTTCTCAACCTGTGTTCTTTTGTATGTGGGTATGAGATATCTATAATAGTAGGTGATAAACTCAATAATAAACCATCCCCAATATCACCAGAAACGGTTGGATATCAACCATCAAGAACTGAAGGTTCATGATTGGGTCTACCACATTACATCTATAAAAGGTATACTTCTGGATAAATGTCACAATTCACTGACCTGAAAATATCTGCTATTTGGGGATAGTTACCCCTGCCAACCATCATCCCTATAGATATATATATATATATATGGAGAGAGAGAGAGAGATGGCCAATGATGGCTATGACAATGTTGAATCTATAAATACAGGTATATATAATGATACGAGTATGTTCTAATGCGTTGACTATTCTAATGATACAATGGTCAAACAGTATTATAGCCAAACAAAGTAATCCTCTTGAAGTAGATAAAATATCTTGGTTCAATGATATGATAATCTTAGTTAGTTGTTTTCTTATGTTCACATTCTATCTACACCACGATGACTATATATATATATAATTTCAGGTGGTTGGGAGGCAGCTGAGGAGCTATTGGTATCCAGAAATCTCTAAAGGAGGAGCCAAGGAGCTGCATGGGTAACCAGCAAATGTTGGGAATTATGAGTAATCATTCTAGGGTGGTATAAGAAGATTAAAAGGCGATCTAATGGGATACAATGGGGTATGGGAATATTGGTAAGAGTGAAGCCATTTCACACATTTCAGCGACTCTGGGGACCACAAATGGACTCCTAAAAACCATGCCTTTTAAGGGTAACTACATCTAATTAGCCAACTTGACCCATACCCATTTTGGGATATGTATGTGTATTTGTAATTATTTGTATATATATACATATGCACGCATAGTTATATATATATGATGCCAATGTGTGATTGAAACATAGCCTAGAAATATGAACCTCAACATAGTGAATTCATTGGAAAATCCGTTGTAAATGAATATAATCCGGGAAGTTGTGCGTCCAAAATAGACATTCACCACCTAACGATGGGCAACGTGAGGATATCTTGCTGCCAACACATCATGGGGATTACAATTTGGGTTTGTCCAAACATGCCGGATAGCACTATTCACTATTCATGGCAATTTGCTATGGAATTTGACGATAAACAACTGACATTTGGGGGGCTGCCGACAATACTCATGTCCCAAACCCATGTGGCAATCACATATGGCCTGCTGAAATTTCCCCTACAACAAAATTGAATTGCATTATTCATGAACAAGGTTCTTATCGACATGAAGTTTCCATTGCCGGCCATGTTTGCTGGCTGGGATCAGTTTTTCAGATAACCCAACTGGCTTAGGTTCCATTTCACCACGATTTTCAGGACTTTACCCATCAACCAGAGGCTTTCACCGTCATAAAAAATGCCAAACTCATCCCTTCGATGTCCCCCATACTCCCCATAAGCTCACCCAGTTGCTGGAAAAATGCAAGTCATCCACATCCATCCATGGTGATCGGGTGATAGGATTAGTTGTCAGATGGTCGAAACACCTAAACCCCAACACATATCTCTACAATCTGTCATCAACAATGTCATTTTTCTATCTAAAAGGATTATGACTAATTATATATTTACATTGTATAATCATTCATATATATATATATACAATCATATATAATCAATCTTCTCACATCTCTCTGAGTAATGCTGAAATGCATGCCGGTTGCTCGTCTGCTCATCACGACCAATCTTCAATACTCTGCTGGAATCAAGCCCAAAAGAACCCCTGGAACCAGTGGAACCCTTACAGCTGTTGGGTTGCGCTGGGTGAATTTGGTTGGTTTTATCTCATTCAATCCAATTGTATCCTATTACATCCCCAATTGGTTGGTTATGTATATATATTATAATGGAGGTTTACCCCCAAATCATCCATTTTAATGGGATGTTCCAATAGAAAAACCCATCCAGCTATTGGGGTACATCACTGGCCAAGCGTCTATGGCTGTGAGTTCCTGTCACCGATCGGGCCGAATCTTCCTGAGCGCCAAATGCACAGGTGAAGGCACGGATTTCCCCCCCGTGTGGCAGTAGCTTAACAAACAGCCCTGAGAATGGTGACTAAAAATAAGATATGGGAATCCTTGAGTGATTTTTCAGTTTCCGGGAGCATTATATATATATATACATATATTTAATTATATATGTATATTATGTAAGATAGCATGATCGGTCGTTACCGGGAACATCACATTTCCACTCTTGGTTTCCGATTTTTAGTTCACCGTGAAACTGCAAGGAAGATAAGCCAAACTCAAGCCACATGTCATCCTCAATCTTACCCTTTGGGAACTCACAAAAACGGTGTTTACCTTGGGAAACATGAATAAACATGAATTTACTCACCTTTATATATTTCTGAGACTTGCTTTTTTTGTCAATTCAATCATCCATGAATTCTTGTTTATCCAAGAATCCAGAAACGCCAAGTTGATGTAGTTGGCAAGCTGGTGGACAAAGTCGCACATCTCCTGAAGCGACCGCCGCAAGCCAAGCGCAGGAGATAAATGTCCAATGTTTGTATGACATATAGATGTTGTACTAGTTTCTGTGAATAATCATGTGTATGATGTCTATAGTATATACATATTTGGATATCCATTGTAGTGTGTGTATATGTGTATATGTGTATATATGAATATATGTATATAATGTGTATATATATATATGTGTCTTTGCATATACCTATATACACGTATGTGTATATATGTATATATATTATACACATTGTTGGAACAATTATAATATATATATATATAATCACATATGTTGTATACTAATCCACTTTGTCTGGCTGAATTCCAACAATTCGCCAAGCAGAAATAAGATGATATAAGTTCATGTTGGGATGGTTCCACTTACCATTGTTGGTGATGTCGTGGTGCCGTTGTAGCTTAACCAGATCCATTGGCTTCCAGGACCAAAACTCATTGGATGCTGGCGGCACAGGAAGGGCTACCCTAGATAAGTAGTTTGGTTTACGACTACAGTACAAATGTTGCATTTATGGTGCATACATCAAACTAGTTTTATAGATGTGGTTGTAAACAAAGCAAACACAACTGGGAGAAAATTTGTTGATTTAGCCAGCCAAACATTGGCATGTAACCAGCAAAAAAAAAGGATTTCAACCATCAAACAAACATGCTTGGTGGTTGACATCCATATTTCTGCTGGTTTGCTCAAGTCATCACCCCTTTTCTACCACCATTGCACCATCAAAAATAGCACCGGCATAGCGGCATAGCACCCCCGCCTCCAAGGTATATTTCGTGAGGCCCAGGGCCTGTGGGGCCACAAGTCGGGGGGGATAGATCATTTTCGGGTCCAAGAGTCTCGACCTGGATTTTGGGGGGTTGGGGGACTAAGGGCTCGTTAAGGCTTAATAAGGGCTTAATAAGGGCTTAATAAAAGCCTATCCAGGCCTTAAATGATAAGCCTTTTATTATTCTGCATCCCAAAACAAATTGACTCCTCAGGACCCCAGATCCCCAAAATTGCCAAATTGAGCAAACATGGTGAACACGCAGCAAAATCTGCAATAATCCCAATGCCCTTTATGGGTTGTGGCTTACATCATCCATCCATTTGGAAAAGGCCTTAAAGGGATAACCCCTTAATGAGGCTTTATCATTACCCGGCCTTATCAGGACCTTAAATGCTGAGCTCATAGCCCCCCCATAGCCCCCCGGTATCCCATGATTAATGGACTATCAATAATAACGAATCATTGATGAATCATTGACATATGCTAGTGAATTTATTCAATGGCAACTTAACTGATAATTAGTGGAACTCATCATGTAATATGATACATGGCAATTCAGCCGTTTAGTACCTTTTCTTAAAAACCCTTTTATATGAAGATGACCTAATCCCGATTACCAACAAACCGGGAAAATAATCCACATACCAATTAGGATAAACCACCATGCGTTCACCCTTACCTTAGTCAAGTAAATGTGCATATACTTACATATGCATGTATAACCACATAGATGTAGTTCGATGTATATTTTAATTATATATACATTCACATACACATACTACACATCTTGTACCTGTGTCCTAGACGCTACCAGTCCAAAACACATTTGTTTTGTTACTTCCAGCGGATCCATATGACATTCATTTAAGGGTGGGGACCATGACCATGGGACCAAAAAAAACAATGGCGACGTCATAGGCCCACGTGTTAATCATTGATAAATTCATGTCCTGCTAAGAGCGCAAAATGCTGTTTGTTTCAACGTTTTGACTTGGAACCATCGTCATGTCACATGATTTTGTGCTGGAAAGGTCGTGAATTTTGTTGAGATTTGTTAGTTTCGCTTCAGCGACACTGCGATTATCATGTCTCATCTTTCTTTTTCTTCGTCTTCGGTATGTCTACTGTATAACGTTGGAACAAACTTTACTAAGCCGATACTGAACAGTCTCAGGATCTCTTTACACTCGTGGTGATGTCTTCGCTACCACTACGACTTGGCAGCTGGTCACGCACTTTGTTTACAAATCTCGCATGTACTCTACACATTCTATGTGTCTGTAACTTCTAAGTGAACTTTCAAGTGCAAATTCAAAGCGCGCTTCAAGTAGCATAGCGTCAGCCATGTGTGCAACTTCTACTTGAACCTTATTGCCAAAGAACATCTTGTCATGAGATAGTCCAAACCAATATATATATATATATATTGTAATCTATATCTATATTATAATATATATATATATGGTGATATTTAAAATGATCTTAAAAAAATGGCTCATCCCTAATGCATCCTAAAGCCATGGGTTTCACTACTGAAATTGTCTGACTTGGATGATTTGGGGTAACCCATGTCTCCCCATCCGCCTCCACAGCTTCAAGCAGCTGCTTACCGTTCAGCAGTTCGCTCTTCACCGCAGCACCTCGGATAAAAAAGCGATCCATGGTGGATTCAGCCACCAAAAGCCATGATAGACGCGTGGAAAGTTTCGGCCAACGACTATTCAAAGTGTGCTTATATGGGGGTGGGTCAAAACCTATTATTATCAATTCTAATGGGATGAACATCCATTTACCAGCTATTTTGGGGTCCACTAGGTGCCAGGGTTTTGACCAATAGCCATATCTTTGAGATATCTTAAATCAAACAACATGGATTTTTGATGGATTTGAAACATCGAGACATGGATAGAAATGGGCTTCAATCATTTCAAGGAGCCACATGGATATGTCCCAAACAAGGTTCTGATTTCATTGTCTACACTGGTGTGAGTATTTTTTTAAGACTAAGTACTTAGATCTGCATTTTGCGGTGCTCAGTAGAAACACCCTCCGGTAATCAAACGTGGCCGGCAGGGAAATCCTTCGGAAAATTCTCGAACTTTTTAAGGGTGATTTTCCAGCCATGGTGCTGCCCCATTTACACAACTTAGCTGGATACCGGCTATCAGGTGGATAGCATAGCCTAAAATCACATGGTCTACCCATTGAAAACACCACACCTTTTGGATGGAACGTGGAGCCCCCTATCTATTTGAACACAGATATAAAATGAGCTCCAAACATATTCCGATTCGTATCTCAGTCCATGCCCGATGCTGATGATTGTACATGCTTGAAATTGTATTTCCCAAATTATATCCCCAATCATCATGGTAAATAGCCCAAATTATATCACTATATCAAGAACATTGGCTGAATTATAAAAATCTGCATAACCTGAACATTGCTGAAACGTTCGGCCATGTGAGGATGGTTCCCCGAATCCAATTCCCATTCAGTGAAGTCACAGTGAGGTCGATTTTTAATTAATGACTCATTGCAGAATCCTCATCATATCCCCATCATATCCCCATCATCTCCCCGTACCACAAATCATATCACCATGTTTGATGGTTGAGGATCTTAAGATAAGTTGAGGTGGTTTGATTGGTTTGATCACGGCAAGTGAATCACCACTGGAACTTCTGGTGAATCCACCATCTTTTTGTTGGCTAAAGTTGCGGTCCGTTCAGGTCCAAGAGACCCAAGCGCAGTTGCAGCCGGCTCCGCATGGCTCTGGAATCCTCGGCAGGTCTGGAATCATGGAAGTGAAGTTGGCCCACGACTTGCAATAAAACATACAATCCGGAATTTTCACATACTGTAGCTATGGAAAGTGGAGGAAAGTGGACCATTTATTAATTTTATGGAGGATTTACCAATCAAAACTGGGGATTTTGGATATGTCAAATGACCTGAAGGTAATTTGTGGACGTGTGGGATATCCAGGATGGACCCTTATATACCCTTATGGAGAAACAATAACTGTGGATTGGTTAAACTGCAACATAATGTTGAATGAGGAAGTTGATCAACTTGCTGCAATTCCTCACTTGGACCATTTCGATCATTTTGTCCGTGACCATAGAACACAAAGACATGAAAGAAAACACAAAAAGGAATATCTGATGATGACAAATACACAGAAACACCTGCTTTTCATTTTGTTTAGTACACATGTGTGTGTGTATGTGTTTGGAGTATTTTAGAATTATTAGACCCTATCTATCAAGGGATTGATGTTCCATGGAAAGCCCACGGAAAACACTTGTTGTTGTTTACCATCCGATTTTTTGGGGTGACACTTGGACATGTTCCCATCACCCAGTTCAAGGAGGCGAAAACTGCCTCAAAGTTGGATTGCATTTGATGTTGACAGATTGATTGTAGATTGTTGCTAATTAACTATGTTTGAAGTCAAAGCAGTTGAGATATTAGGCAACCAATCCTGGAAGAAGTAGCAAATATCTCCAAAAAGGACACATATGTTGGCCCATTCTTAAATATTGATATCTATATGGGGCCTGGGGGCCAGCGTTTCTTCTTTTCAGCTGCCAACCTGCCTTTCTTTTCCGGTTCAAATCACCAGATGTTCCAAATCCTCGTTGACCCTACAGTACCAATGTGGACCCAATAGCGAAACACGAACCATCCGCGTTTGCACTCTTCGGGTTTGCCACATTACCAACCATCACCAGCCATCAGAGAAAAACAACTCCAGTTCGATTGCATCAAACTCGATGATTTTTTCATGTTCCAAGTGATTCCCCATGATATTCCAATAAAATCCACATTGAATCCCGCTAAACCCCTATCTTTAAATATATATATATATCCTTTTGAATCACCACTAATTATTCCCACAAGATTCCCTGCTACAAACCTGTGCAACCGAGGCAAAGAAGCAAGTGGACCCTTGGCATAGTGCGAGTCAAAGCTGCCCTAAGCGACAAAACTTGTGGAACTCTTAGGTGCTTGGTCAGTAGCTTATAGGCTTTGAACATGGATTCGTTTTTTTTTTTTTTAAACTTAAAATGGGAGATCCCCAAAGCCAAGGGTTTCAAAATTAAAACAGTCTAATTTTGGATTAGTTGGGGGTACCTCCTTTGGGAAATCTCCATTTGATCAACCATCAAATTTGAGGTACCATATCTCACCGGGTAGTTGGATATGTGGAGTACGTAAACCATATGCGGACGTATTTATATATATATATATGCATGCATGCATGTATGCATGTGTGTATGTTTGTATGTATATGTATATGTAAAAAAAAAAGTGTGTATATGTATGTATACCGTATATATATATATTATATATATTATTATATGATTATATAATATAATATCATGTATGTATGTCTATCCGTATGTCCGTATGTCTGCATATCTGTATGTCTGTATGTCTGTATGTATGTATGTCTGTATGTCTGGAATGTCTGGAATGTATGTAATGTATGCAATGTATGCAATGTAAGTAATCTATGTGAAATGAATGTAATTTATGTAATGTATGTAATGTATGTAATGTAATGCGATGCACCGGAACTTAAGGTAACGTAGCGTATCGTAATGTAATGTATGTAATGTATGGATGGATGTATGGATGTATGGATGGATGGGAGTATGGACGTATGGGAGTATGAACATATGGACATATGGATGTACAAATGTACGGATGTTTGGATATACAGAGGTGGGGATGCATGCATGTATGTATGTGTGCGTGTGCATGGTTGTATGTACATATATATATGTATTATGTTTGGGTATATATATATATATTATACACATAGAAATATGTATGTGTATTATATATATAATCATCTCTATACATAGTTGTATATATATATATATATCTATGCATATATAATCATGTATATATTTATATACACATAGGAAAATGTATATATATATATACATAGGAATATGTATATATAGTAATCATTTTAAAATATCACATCAGCATAGTGAGCATGATCCCTTTGAGCTGGAATGAGTTCTTTCGCTCGCCGAAGACGGGTTTGATCCCGGCGTCCTCTGACTGGACATGAAGCCTCTCACAATGGTCTTTGTTATCCCATAAATCAATGGATGTCCATCCCTTCAAGAATTATTTAGTCCGTTTATTCATGATTATTCTCTATAAAATCGCAGGAGAAACAGCTGTGAAATGATTTCATCTGGCTGAAGTCCCAACAACATTTTGGTGAAGTCGTCGCGAGCTAATCCCTTTTCTAAAGATATCCCACCAGAATTCCTGGTTCTGTTTTGGAATTGTTCAGGTTTAGGACCGGAGGTTATTATGATCGAGGAATTGTTTTTTAAATGGTTTTTTCAGCAATCTACATGCTCCACACAAGTTTTTTGGATCAGCCTGACGGGTCCAAATGAATCTACATCAGCATAGTGTTGGATCAATGCCGGTGCGTTTTTTTTTGTGCATTGGCAAATATGCATTTCGTCCTCAACTGGCATGGTTGTGGAAGCTTACCTTTGGCTTCTTTCAAGTGTCCCGTTTTTGGGGCAAGCATCGTGGAAATGTGAGAAAAATACTTGGTTGAACCCGCAGGATCCATATCGTCGAGTACCCTCCTGTAAACATACAAAAAAATGTGGAAAAGTGGAAAACCCAACATTTACAGGTTATTTTCGCAACGGAGTTCCTGATGGGTTTACCATCTATTTGTATGTTTATCCTAGGGCATGAACCACCAACTTCACCTTACCCCCAATTGTAGTTGGTGTGCCTGTGGTGACCTGTGCATATACCCGGGCAGAAAAAGATCAGCCAAGAATATGGTGTATGGCACTAACTTAGGGTTCACAATAAGCCATATTCTATCCAGAAAAAATCTAGCCCACAAAATTATAACATGTTTCTATTGTGACGTTGGGTCTACAGATGTCTACAGTACCTCCTTTTTTTCTGCCTTGGCGTTGCCACTCTGCAACCACTGTGGACCGCGTACCCTACCGTTCACCTTTTGTGCCAAGCAGCGGTCCGCCGAGAACCGACACTCTTCAGACTGCGAGATGGTACCACCTTAGTGGATTCTAATGGATTTAAACAACATGAACTGATGATATGGAATTTACATGATTTTGCATGGTACCATAATTTACATTAATTTACATGATATGTCAAAAAAAATACAGTAAATGTCAGTAAATGATACCACCAAACATGATATGGCTTCAATATGTTCCATGAATTTGCCATGTGATTTCCGGGGATTGGGATCTGATTCAACCTCGGCTCAACCATGTAGCATTTCCATGCGAAGTTGCCTGCCAGGTGAAGAGTTTAAGGAACAATTATCGTGATTTCTTAAAATGTGTGTGGGATCCCCAAAAACCATAGGTTTCAATACTAAAATGGTCTAATTTTGGATGGTGTGGGGCTATCTCCATTTTAATAGGAAACGTCCATGTGTATGTTTATGTTTGGCCAAAATATATCTCCCTCCCTCTCTTTCTCTGTGAACAATTTCTACTACAGCTATACATACCTACCTAAGGAATCCTAAGGATACACAATAGTGGTGTTGTGGAAACTCCAATTGGGAATCTGTTGTATGCTCCCCTTCAAATCGACCAGGATACCACCATCATGGGGAATCGGAATATGGCAAGAAGGAATATGCTCGGAATATGACATGTTGTTCTCAACTGAGTTATAATTATAATCAAAAAAACAAACCGCTCATGGGTCCAAACCTGACTCCAAAAGAAGTGTCTTTGGGGGTCCTGGTGTGCCTGTAATGTACCAGCACATGCATGCATATCATCCTGCATCCCCGCCTTTTGGTATGGATACATCAGATACATCCCATCTTTCTTGGGTAACATCCCCATTTATGCTTGATTCAAGGCCCTTTGTTTTTTCACACACACACAAAACAGGCTACAATTTTAGTTTCAAACCCTGCCAAGGAACCGGCTGAGTCCCAACAGTTTGCCACAGCTCAGTCGTCACAGGAATACTGCCATCGTCATCTTCGAGCACCAAGGGGAGATTGGAGTCAAACCTGAAGCAATGGATGTGTTTTCATGTGATGGTTTCCATAAATGGGGGTACCCCAATAGCTGCCACAGTTGGTTTATTTAATGGAAAATCCGAAAATCCCAAACCAAAATCGGTTTGTGTAACTGCTTTATTTCATGGAAAATCCCCAACCAAAAATAGATAGATGGTAACTGTAACTACCCCCATGACCCACTAAGGACACCTCCATCTTTCTCCAGAAAATCCATGGAAGATCTGGGTCCCAGAGGGTCCCAGACTGAGTCTCATCCCATTGGCCGAAAAAGTTCATTGAATTCATCACGGCGCCTGAATGAATCAATTGATTGATGAGATAACTATGATAACTAAGTAATGAATTAAGGTATGTATTGATGAACTCTGGCAAAATCAATGGTTCTTTCATCACTGAATGAAGAAATTAGCTGCCTGTTCTCAAAGTCTCGAAGTTTTTCTCTCAGCTTCTTGGTCTCTGAGTTTCTTCTTCTCTCAGCAATGGGTATTGACATTGGGTGACCACCATTCAGAATTTTCCCTATTAAAGTGGTGATATTTTTTTTGGGTAGACCGGTAGACCGGTTTATCCTGATACCCCGTCTTCGGGTACTATGGCAGTCTTGCACCAAAAGTAATATGATATTGGCCAAACAGTGAACTGCGCAACAATGACTTTTGCCCTCTGGTAATATATAAGTAGGAAATCTCAACAAATTAGTGACAAATACATTGGATATGATAATCATCAACAGAAAAAGGTGATATTCCCCACTGCCAGGTTCAATTACCAGAGGGTAACCAGCCTGGTTGACCACCCCAAAGTGATAGTGCAATGATCAAGAATCTCTTGTCAGTTTACTATTGCTTTAGTCTCGACTCTACTAGTCCATTCCCATCTTAGTCTTTACTGGCCAATCCACTTATATCCCCCTCGAAAGCCTCTGTTTACGTCGGATGCTGAAACCTGCATCTCTGATAATCCAAGCCGGCCTCATGAAAAACTCCCCCATTTCTAAACTTCTTCCCATGACTAAATAAACAAATCGGGACTTCACAATCTTCACAATCTTCCCAGGTTGGATTAATCGTGATTAACCTTCAGGCGACTGCATCGTGGCTGGGCCCGCCTCTTCAATTCTTTGCTCATACCTCTGTTGAGCTCGCGAGTCCTTATCGATGGGGATAGGCCCCAGTGAGCTACAGTTTTTCTGTCCGTAGGTTAAGTGTTGGGTTAAGTTATGTTGGGTTTATGGTATTATATCACTCCAGAAAAGATAGAAAATAAAACCATACTTATATAACCTATATATATATATATTATATATATATACACTGTCAAACTTAGCCTTTTCTATTTTTGTTAGTGTTATCATGCAATTATATATCGATATCATATAGATAATCTATAGCTATACACCTTAAATCACCAACAAACATGTCCCATTTAAGGGGGCACCATGGGGCACCGCAACTGAAGCTGTGAATTCCAATCACACACTATTGCCAAACCCCCCCTGTGTGTTAGTAGTATGATATACTATCCTGTAATTATGTAATTTTAACATAGCTATGGAAGACATGGCCCATTTGTAGATGATTCCTATCAAAAATGGGTGAGTTTCCGCTATATTAAGCAACCAAAGGGTACATTCCCATCAAATCCCATTAAAACTCCCCATCTGTTAACACTAAATCTCCATATGTCTAGGACGAATGCGTTAACTTACCTCTCAAGGAACCCAAATTCCGTTAAATACCAAGTAAATATCTTTAAATCACCATTAAATACCCATCTATTCATGCTTCTCCCTTCGAACGAAGCTCTGTGATGAGTTCGACCTGTTCATGGAAGCATCGGGCTCAGTCTCGATTCGCACATCCCTGAATGGCAGGAGTCGACGGGAGTCGATGGGCAGAGTGGGCATTTTCCGAGGACCAAAAAGTATCCAAAGTTTATTCAATTGATTCGTTTATAGTAGTGCTCTTCAAATCTAATAATATCAAATAATCACCTAGAAGTGGTACATACAGGAATTATCATAGAATTTATATAATATTAATTACTCATATGGTACCGATAAAGTACCAAATTAATACCAATATATACCAATATAGTGTTAGAGTACTTGATGATCCTAAAAGTAAAAGCCACATGGTTAGTATCACATAGAAATTAATAAGCTGTATACTGTACATAATGATGTGATTGCGAATATGATTTCATAGATAATCATGAACTACTATGAACCTTAGTTTAGCATAGTTTAGCAATAAATACGCTTGTACAACTGAAGAATCATCAAATCATCAAAGTCATTCAAAGTCTAATAGTCATGTTTATCAACTATTAGTCCTGAGGTGTGCGTAAACATGCAACATAACATACTTATGATTAATTATAATAATGGTATAGTTGTGTTTATAGTTGCTGATCATTGAGCAGAAGCCATCTGGAGCGTGGTTGATGCGTGATGTGTAGGCAAATCGTGTATAAAAACGTTTCATTACTGAAACAACTTGTTTTGCTGAAGAACAAGTAGTGACAATTATGTACAATTAAAACAATGAATGCTATTTGGATAGAAAAAACACAAATAACTTGATATTACTTGAATGATTCTGAACATAAACAAATCTTCAGTCAAAAAATATGGAAATATCTAAGCCTTTATACTTGGGATCTAACATGTCAGAACCATATTTAAAACGCAGCAGTCCAACAACAAGTCCTGCTAGTCCCATCAGGCTTCCAACAACACTTCTCCCCCAAACAAAATCTTTTTGGGGTTCACTACTTAACACATTTGGGTTAAAGTGACATGTTCCAACTCCCAAAGAGCGCGTATATCAGACTATTTAACATCATAGAATTTTAGAATCATAGTGTGTAACATCATGGTATATGGCATCGTATATCTAAAAACATTGTATATGTCAATTTATACCAATATTGTCCTATATTCACCAAGATATTTGGTGGCCCCGGTCCCACCTTGTCGCATAGGTCCCGTCACGGTAGGCTTCCAAGACATGTTGCCGCAAGGATTGCAAAGACAGATCCAGCTGCACTTCGAATGCTCGCTCCATGGCGAAACGCGTCACTTCGGCGTGGGGAGGGCTGTGGTGTGAAGCCCAACAGGGGCTAATAGGCTAATAAATCCAAACAATGAATACATGATGTATCATCATAGGAATCGGAACCCTGAGAGTAGAATATTCAACATGTCAAACAATGTCAACAGCATGCAAAATAAGGCGAACATGACTTTCAAACTGATTTTGGAGTACCCAAAATCTTGGATAATTATGTTTGGGATCAAATCAGATGGGCAAATTTGTTTGCAACCACCTTGGCCCGGTGGACCCCATCTTTATATGGTATTGAAGTACCAATTGTAGTGGACAAGTCGGAGGTCTAGGCTAAGTCAACGGAATTTCAACCATAGCGCCGCGTTGCAAAGGATCAGCCGCACAAGAGTACACTGGTAATACACAGTCAATTATCTTGAAATCACCAAGTTGTCATCTATTCATCCGTAGCTTAGTACAGTATATGTTCCCTCTACCTGGCTTTTTGACAGAAAGTATGTAGCCAAAGGACATATTTGAAAAGAACCAAAGATAGCCTAGCCTAGATTTGAAGAGCTGAACTTAAGTGTTTCTTGGTCGCAAAAACCACGCACGCAATGATGAGCAAAAGGCCATCTATCGGTCATATATATATATATATAATTACTTAGATAAGTTACTATATATATATATATGTATATATACACTTGTAGGATCATAGGTAACAATATCATTTCAGTCGGTGCTTTGGATTCTCAGCTTGTGCAGGAGTCCAAAAACGCCACCAGTGAGTCGTTGGCTCATCGCTATCAGATCGCCACCGCTAGATATATATCGAGGTTTCCTCATGGAGGTACCCCCCAGTTATCATCCATTTAATTTTAGATTGGGATTTTCCATGAAACCATCCAGCGATTTTTAGGGGTACCCCCATTTCAGGAAACCCACATATATAATTCATATAATTCATATATTCCCGCACAAGAATTTGCATAACCAAATGTCTTTCATAACCTACCCTTCATCAGTTGGTTCACCCTGATGCTGATCCTCTGCAGCAGTCAGGAATCACGGAGATTCCAACTACTGGGAAAACCATGGAAAATCATCAAAATCAAAGAGAAATCACTTTTTTGGTTTGCCATGGACCATGGTTTCCATAACTGTTAGATAGCCAGGGGTAACCAAGAAAAACAAGACGATATTGACCAGCAAATAATATATATATATATATATCATATATGGACAACCTAACAAGAAAAAATCACTGTACTTGCCTATCAAAAATATGGTTGAACCAGCCACGCTTGGGATCTAAACCCTGTCCAAATATGACTTTTGAATTCTCTACTGGCATCTGATGCTCACACACTTGGCATGCGGGGAAAACAGCTACACATCTTCGAACTGACATGTTCACAGAAATGATTGGGCAAATTAACTGGCAAATTATCACTTCACAAATCTGAAGCAACCTGAATTTTGGGGGACCGTTGCATGGTCAAAATTCGAGATCCGAATTCGAGATCCCTTCGATTCGCCCAGCGGAGATTTTCCTCACTGAGGACACCGCGAGAATGAGAAATTGGCCAAATATCCTGCGTTTGGCGTGCTGAGCTTGAAGTAAAAACGGGATGCGTGCTGACCAAAAATGGGGCATGTGTCCCATGTGTCCCATATTGTCCCATTCAAAAAAAAACGTTGTGAAACAAGCAAAAATGCGGTTCAACAGATAAACGGGTGGATTTCGGGATAACTCATTGTTGGCCAAGCTGCCAAGCTCATTTCGTGGCCATGTGATATACCAAGCACACCAAATCTGGTGCCCCCGGGGAGTCCATCACCATTTTTATGGGGATTTCAACCTTCCCTAAATGGTTGGTTCATTGTTGGGTTTCCCACATTAAAAAACATATGATGATCACTAGCAGTCACTAACAGCCATTTTCATCAGCTGAGATCTTCAGAGATCTTGATAAAGTCTTGACACAACAACAAATTCTGGTGCAGCTATAGATCATCAAACCTTCAACCATTCAAGCCATCAAGCCATCAAGCAGTTCGAAATCTAGGCGACCGAACTTCTCCGCATGGCGCTATATGATTACTGCTTGGTGGTGCAATAACCATCCTGAAAATATGAAAGTAAATGGGAAGGATGACATCCCATATATGAAATGGAACATAAAATTCATGTTTGAAACCACCAACCAGATGATTTATGCATTCGTACTCGCACTGTTGTATCTACGGGAAGAATCTTTGGCTGCACAATGCTGGACATGTCCTCAGTACAGTATCTGCCCTCTCGCGTGGGATGTGGGGGGAAAATCTGACCATACCTCCCACATGAGGTACGCTATCGCAAACACAAGCGATTTATTCCAAAACGTTGCACTCCAAAACCCAATATGTATATATTTTAGCATCATGCGCCCAATCATTGAATATGTTTACATAAAATGATGTTGACATGCAATTATTTACAAAATAATGTAACTATATATATATATATGTATATGAATGTAATCATATAACTATACATATATCTAATGTAGTTTAATGGTTGATCATGGTTTAGCTACATCCTCCCGATGGATTTTAGATCAGTTAAAACACTTTTCTGGAACGAATATTTCCATTTCGGGCTTCCGAGTCCCTGACCAAGAGTCTCAAGCATGGGATGAGACGTGCCAGAGATGGCCTTGCGAAAGGGGGCGGATGCACCCATGGATCCCAGGTCGGCGGATGGGAACTTCGTATATAGAAATGGAGGTTGAAATCGAGAAAAGCATGTTTGATTACTGGGGAATGGGGATGCTGGTTGGTGGTAACATGTTCTAACCCTGTTCTAACCCCCGGCAACAATTCCGAAGTCAAAAAACAGGAGTCATCACATGTATATATCCGCACGGAACAGTTCCAGATGAACCATTCACCATCTTCCATGACAGTAAATGTTATTACGTTCAGCTCATCAAATACCAATTGTTCGAAATCCCCGCTGCCAAATATCCTCCACTTTTGAAAGCATTTATCTTTCTATTCATCAAAATAAAGATGGCAAAATTTAAGGAAAAACCATGAAAAACCATGATTTATAGATGATTTCACCATATTTCACCTGGGAGGTCCCATTTTTCCGAAATCTTTTGTGTACCCATCCCCACCTCCGTCACCACAGAGCTGTGGTGGTGAACGTGGGATGCCTGGGATTGGAACTGAAAATCACTGGTTGGTGTTTGACCTATCCCTCTGAAAAATGATGGAGTGAGTTCGTCAGTTGGGATAATGACATTCCCTATGGAAAAATATGGAAAGTCAATCCAAATTCCATGGTTTCAGTCACCACCAACCAGATACCCTCTGGTAAACTCACATAACGAACTGGAAAAATCATCCATTCATGTTCCAGACCACCAGAGAAATGTGCTTGGAACATCGAACAGACAGCCATGTGCGAGGACAATGAGGACATGTTGAGACGGAAACAATCGCTTTCTGTGGCCTTTCCATGACTGTGGTTTGGTGAGTTCCATTCCGTCAAGATATGTCAAGAATTGGGGTCAATCATCCCTCATGGAAAATAGAAACATGATCTAACATGATCTAACATGATCTAACATGATCTAACTTGATCTAACTTGATCTAATGCATATAGCTGACACTAAGTTAATTAATAACATTGAATAACCTTGATTCTTGGCCTTTCCATGACTGGGGGCACCCCTCCAGTCATCATTCAAGTCATGAATGACCGTGACTTAGTATAGGTTAACCCATGGTGACGACTGGGGATTCCCCATGACTTCAGAAACTCTCAGATCATGCCAAATCGTGCCTTGTAGATCGCAGGCTTGTGAAGCCAGAGGTGGAAGAGGTAATAGATCGGTTCCTGGGTCAACCAAAAACCGTTGCGGTGAATCTTTGTTCTGTTTGCTGCCAATGGAACTTATCATAACTTTTAATAGTTAATAATAGTTATGGAATTGTTCATCACTTTAAACAATTTAAATAGTTACATGTTCTCTACAAATGCTTTGTTTACCTCGTAGGCTTCTTGACTATATCATCTACTTGAGATGCTTTTTACATTGCGCAACCATCATTTCAACCACAAATTGGGGATCATCCCAAGTGCGGCAATGATCAATGGATATCAATGGATGGTCGCCATCTCAAGCTTGAATTCAGATCTAAATACGTTGGATGGAACTTCATGGTAGCTATATGTTTAAACAACATATGTTGAAAACAGTTCAATGCAAAACAAGTTTTTTTGTTACTGTATATATATATATATACATTATTACCGCATAACATATAACATGCACACTGGATCAGTCACTGGATATGCCTATTTTGGGAATATATGTATCCATACATCCGTCCACCTATTTGTTGTGTATATGTAATATGTATATATATATATACAATTATATATATATATGATTATATATATATATGTGTATATATGATTATATATATATATATATGATTATATATATGATATATATATATGATTATATATATATGACGATATAAATATATATATGATTATATATACTGTATATATATATATATGATTATATATATAATATTATATATATAATTGTATAAATATATACAGTATATCTATATCTATTTCTATATCTATATCTATATATATAGTGTGTGTGTGTGTCCCTGTAGATCCAACCACTTTCTGAGAATGTCCTAGGGACCCCCAGTCGCATCATACCCCAGTCATCCTAAGCCGAGGCTGCGACCACCACCAAGTAGTGAGCCAAAAAGCAGACCTCTGAATCTGACCATGACGAGGAATTCCGGCGGCGATAGCATGGCGAAAAACAACATTGGAGAACAAATATATACATTATACACATATTATTCTGGTTGGTGGTTTCAACCCCTCTGAAAAATATTAATCAGTTGGGATTATTTTTCCCAATATATGGAAAAATATAAAATGTTCCAAACCACCAACCAGTATTGGTAAATTACAGTTACTAGGTGA